GAGAGAGAGAGAGAGAGACCCTCGTCTCGATTGAGCAGAGTGGCAGTGGAGAGATATGTCCAGGCCGATTCTCAACTTGGTGACACGGCGCAGGAAACAAGCCAACGAGCCCAGGGAGGGCAGCGCGGCTGCGGCGGGTCGCGCCCGAGTCACACTAACTTACTCCCGTAATTGTTGCAGAATGCTCAGGCTCTGGTCCTCTCGCTGCCGCCGCGCCACAGTTAACCCCGTTCCCAAACAGGGCCACTCCCTCTCTGCTCAGCAGCTCCGCCCTGCTTACGGGACCCAGCGAGCGGCACACCGTCGCTTTAGGGGGCTGACAATTGAGATTTGCTATGGTGCACGGATCAAGCGGTGCATACTTATTTTAGAGAACGACGAGTATGTAAGGTAACACATTGTGACAGCTCACTTACGTAGTAGAGAGACTGGGTCTGGGTATGAATAATCAAGTGAGGACCGAGGAGCCTCACTTTCTGAGGAGTGATACCGTGCAGTAGACTCAAGAGGATTATTCCAATATCTTTACGAATCCGTGTAAATATAAAGTATCCCGCAGAAGGGTACTAGTATTTTTAGTGGTGAACCGAGACGCGGCAAATCCCTTGAATTATATGAACTGCATTGGACCACTGGGCAAAACTGTTAACAAAGTTTTAGAAAGTACTTTCTGCATTTGCCGCGTTACGAACTTCAAGCTTTCCATTTATCTGGCAGCTCTTCTAGTGCCTGACCAGTAGGCAACTATATTTCCTGAAAAGCATACGTGTGCTGTGTGGTGGCCCACCGAGCTGGGTGGGAAAGACTCTGGAGTCTTTCAGGCACCAGGCTCCCATAATTTGTCCAAACATGGTAGTCAAAAATGGACTGTCAGAAATATATACATGTATACAATAAGCAAAGCGGTGACGACATTTCGAGTGCATCGCGCTCACAGAGGAACTGTTCGTAGTGCGATTTGGTTGGGCTCGGTTAAAGCAGGCCTCGGCCCCACTCTGGCTGGTCGATACGTGTGACGGTCGTGTGACGGTTGTGTGACGGTGTGACGCGCCGACGCCGCCTTGTCACCTCGATTATTCATTCACCTTGTCTTGCACGTTGCGCTTTGTGTTTGTTGTCACGCCTGGATTTTTCCTTCTCCCTCGCATTTCCTTTCCGTTCCCAGGAACGCCTATGGTCGCGACTACGAGGAAACGAATGGGAAAAGCAAATATGAGAGAGAAAGAGGAGCGGGCGGGGGCGATCGACAAACTGCACACTTTGGATGCGATAGTGGTTGACAGACCGCCACACTGGGTAAAATTTACCCGTATTTTCTTTGAAATATTCATGCACTGATGTGACTCCTCTTCCTCCCTTCCTTATTTTTGTGTGCGTGTGAGTGTGTGTGGAAGTGTACTCCGTAATCCCTCTTCTTTTCTCCTCCACAAAGCAGAAAGAAATGTTCGCTTGCACTATGGGGGCTCCACGCTGTTGCCCCGCCTCAGCCCGACTGGCACGTCCTGGCGGGGCGGGGCTGGGCGGGGCGGGGCGGGGCCCAGGAGAGCACGGGGCACTACGGTTCATTAGGCACGGGCCGAGCAGGCTGAGGGGGTGCGGGGGCGAGAGGAGGGAGGGGGGGGAGGAGGAAGCAGCGGGTGGAGAGCGGGTTTTGTACGGGGCACTGGAAGCTGCAGAGGGGGAAGGGGGGCAAACCCCTCGTCGCGTGGCTAGGCGGCGCTGATCAGGATCGGCCAGCACCACGGCACCGGGCACGGGCGCTACGCCACGCCACAGCCAAGACCTCAGCTACCGCTGCAAGAGGCGGACACTGTCATAGTTCTGGTCCTAAAACCCTCTACATTCGAACCGCAGATGGTAAAGCGCTTCAGTATACTATATCTTAAGTCCGTATTTGAACTCTTTCTCTCTCTCCTGATGCTGTTTAGGAACGCCCCGCATAGTTCGCCTTTCTCGCGAAGGCCGGGCCGTACTGCCAGTTTGTGTCCCCCCCTCCCCCCCCCCCACAAACTACCAACAAGGCAAAACCATGCAACTGAATAAATGTTGCATAGAATTTAATACAGGAATAATGCTGTTCGCATCACGCGTTTCGAAGGGGAGCATGAGTGGGAAAAAAAGGAGAGGGGGATAGTTTGGGTATTGAGGAGCGGGAAGGTTTCGAGAAGAGACATGCGCCTTCTTTGGCGAGACCGGGTGATAAGGGTTGGGGGGGGGAGGGGGGGTAGCAGTAGGAAGGAAGGGGTGTGGCTGGAGGAGAGGACGCGACGGAGATAAAGAAAGTTACGTGCCTTCGATAACCCCCACATTCAATCCACTCGGGAATGAGAAAGCAAAAAAATATAAAAAAGACAAGTCGACAGCCCCCCCCCTCCTCCTCCTTCTTCTGCGATGCCGTCACCGGTGGAGGTCTCCACCCCACCCCATCCCCCTTTTCCCTACCCTCTCCCTAAAGCGTCCCCCACCTCCACTCTTTCTTTTACATCGGGTATGTGAACCTGTTAGAGCCAGTGTTTCGGCCCGCTGTTAGCATTGTCAAAAGTGACCGGCAAATAGGTCGCTCGCCGCGCGCTGTCGATTGTGAAATCTGCAACTTAAACATGCATCAGTGCCGTTGCGACACCCCGAGAGCTGCACCGAGCGGGCGCAGGGGTGCTGAATTTGCTGAAATTGCCCCCCTGTGGTCGCTCGGCTGGGCCCTCGCGGGTCTCCGCGGCGGCAGCCAGCTTTAGACGCGCTCCAGACCTGTTCACGAGTGGCACGCGGAAGGCTTCGGAGAGGGACACTTCTGTGTAAGGTGAGAGAGTGAGGGACTTGTTTGAACTGATTAAAAAGAAAGGATTAAGAGGCAAACGCTGCTTTAGTTATTAAACCGTTGCAAGCTGTGCACTAGCGCCCCCTAGAGTAAGACGTAAGGTAGCTTCGCTTAACCTAAGATTGTGCGGGACCCCTCTTATTCAACATGGTGAATCGGCCCTAAGACCCGTTTGCGCGTACTTAGGCTACTGACCCCATAAAGCCCAAAGCCCAAAGCCCTAATTTAAAGCCCTTTTGTTCGAACGAGCCTCACCGGGGATCTCTCACCTTACCAACGGCCGCCGACCCAGTCCTGCGTCTCCGGCGGCCACCACTCCCCTGTTCACATCAACCATATGGACCAAGATAAGCAACAGTGAAGTGCAGCAAACTCTCCGTGAGATTAACGCCGTGCCCTCCATCCACGACCGCCAAGCGAATCATCGACCACGCGCAAGCTTTCCTGGTGAGTAAGCCCACGGCCCTTTCTCAAAATGGCTGAAGTGTCCGTGCTCGGCTTGCTCCCGCCCACCTTCTGCGGCGACAACGACTCGGTGGAAAACTACATACAGCGGTGCGACGCCTTTTTCCACCTCCGCGGATTCGATGAGAAGGGAAAACTCAGCGTCGTGGTCCTGACAACGAAAGGCGTCGCCAACGAGTGCGTCACCAGGCTCATCGGCAACGACACGGATAACCCACTGGTAACGTACACGGAACTAAAATCGAAACTTCTCAACTTCTTCAAACGCACTTGTGACCCTTCAGCGGCATACGCCGAACTTAGTACAAAAATCTTGCGGCCGAATCAGAATCTCAGGGCCTATGCACAGGAGGTGATCTCCCTGTGCATAAAGGCCGACCCAACTATGCCCGAAACTAAACAGGTCGGACATATAATAAACGGCCTTCCCATTGACGTACAAAAAGACTTGAAATTTTTCAACACTGCCACCATTTCAGAAGTTCTTAAGAAAATAGAAGAGCTAGAGGTCACAAACAGCAGACTGCAGCAGGCGGAGTTAGTCCGCCGGATTCACGGCGCCGGGGCGCCGACCAGCTTCGCATCCGAGGACCCCAAGGAGGCGATCAAGGTCGTCGCCGGCGTGCCCGCGGTCAACGCCGCGCCGCAACAGCAGCAGCAGAACCAGCGGCACCACCAACAGCAGCAGCCGTCAGAAGCCGACCCCATCGCCCAGCTGCAGAGAGACGTAGCCCAACTCAGGTTAGACATGCTGCAGCTGGCGAAACACTGCGCCAGCAGCGCCGTACCGCCGGAGCCACCAGAGCCACCATCCTGCAGCTACGAGGGGGACGACGAGGACGACGAGGATCTCGGCGAAGACTACTGCGACGGCGAGTACTTCGAGGACGAAGAGTACTTCGACGGCGCCAACGACTTGGACTGGCAGCAAGACTGGCAGCAAGACTGGCAGCAATAATCATTTTTCTCTATTCCTGATAGCAGTGTATGTCAGCTCGCCGCATTCGTCGCTGCGCCTCGCCGACAAACCGTGCTCGCCGCTTCTGCTGACGCCGTTCCCCTGGCCTGCCACCCGGCCGCCGCACCGCCGTGTCGACGCCCGGGCCCGGGTCATCCAACGCTCCATGACAACAGCGGTCAGCAGTCGGCGCTCACCTACTCGAGCTCACCTGCTGACCCACAGAGGAACGCGCAGCTCAGCAAAATCAACGGAGGGCGACGGAAAAGCGACACTGCCGAAATCTTCCAACTTTCACAATTGTTTTTTTTTCTTTTTTCATTTTTTTTTTAAATCTTCATTGCCTATTGTCATTCGTCATGGGAACTGTCCGTCTAGAACCAAACAAGTAATGCTCAACAAATCCTGCTCCAGGTTCTTAAGGCTTCCGCTGCACCTCCTGCCGACTTCAAGAGGATCCAGGTTTCGGCCCGAGACAACCCCACGAAGTCGCAGAAAACCCCAGCAAGCCTCAACCATCTGTTCACCTTCAACCCCACCGCAAGACAACCAGCCGTTAGACCCCATCCTCCGCGCCATCCTTCAACAGACCACTCCAGCTAAGTATCGGACCAGAAGATAGAAACATGAAGAGGCCACGGAAGCAGAAACGTTAAAAAAAGGCCATATGAATAATTTTCTTAAATATTATCCAATTTAAAGGGGAGTGGCAATACCGAGGCTCGCCTGTACCACCTATACGGAACCGCGGGTGCAGCCTCTTAGCTTAGGAAAAAGGGCAAAACATAAAAATAATGAAAAATGGGCTATATAAATAAAGAAGAATGGGCTATATAAATGAAGAAAAATGGGCATTAACACCGGTCAATATTAGAGCTCTCTATCCTTTCTCTTTTTCATTTTTTTTAATTTTTTTTTCTAAATTTTTCTTCCTTGATGCATCTTAGTTTAATCCTAATTTTATCTTATTTCTAATTTTATTTCTAAATTTTTAGCACTAGGATGGGTTTCGCACCTTTTTAGGTTAGCTTAGGCTATTGTTTAGGATTAAAGCTTTATTTTAAACTCTTAGTTTTATCTTAGGTATAGGGCGCCCCTAGTTTTAAGGTTAGGTCTAATGCGTTGCCTCTATTTTCTTTTTTTTTTTTTGGTTTTTCATACTTGTCTCTCCCTCTCGAACCGATTAACCCAGCATTTTGTTCTCTCCAGGAGCCTGGCCGACTTATTTACTTGCATCGAAATGCTTCGTGGCCCCTACGACGTGCGCCGCCGCTGGCACCTGGACCCTCATAGCGACCCTCCTGTCGTCGCCTGACCTGTCGCCCTGACTGGCTGGATCTAACTGCACCAAAGTCCGGGAGTCCGTGGACCTCAGAGCCGCCGCCCCGGGCTCCACCATCGCCACCTCGCTGCACTCCAGCCAGAACTGAGTACGGATACGTGCAGCAGCAACAACAAATCCGCTCGGCCCGTGTCCCCATCATCTGCAAGGTTGCGTAGATCCGGAAGCACGGCTCGGCGAGGTCTGCCTGCTAACTTCGCATCATCTGACGACGCTATCATCATCATCATGGACAATTTACCTATTCTTCCATTATTTGCGTCGTGCTGGTGGTGACAATAGTTGCAATAGTGCACCAAACGTTAAGACTGACTTCCGCTATGAACTATTTGGTCAGGCGTCAGGACAGGGAGCGTTACGGGCGGGTGCCTGTGGTAGCGGCCGCCGTGGAGGGCCGCCCTGTACCGGAACTCGAACCCACTAAACCCACAGGTTTCCATTTAAATTAATTTTCTTACTTTTTTCCCCCTTTCATTTTTTTCTTTTTTCTCTTTTTCAATACTCTCAATTAACTTATTTGCTTTTGCCCCCTGTTGGGCGCGTGGGTTCGGGTTCCGATTGTTTTGTTTTTTTTATTGGTTTCTTTTGCAATTTTCTCCCCCCCCTTTTTTTAAAGTTTTTTTTTTGTTTACAATAAACCATTTTTTTTTTTGCATCCCCCACCCTTGTTCACCATTGTAACTTTTTTTTTTCGTTTTGTTCATTTTTTTTTAAATCTCTTTGTGGCCATGTAAATCTCCCCTTTGTACTTTGTTTTTTCTTTTTTTTTTGCTTTTCGAAGGACCGCTTTTGCATTGTTCCCCTTGTTTTTATGTTCAATGCTGCCATTTGTTTGTTTTTTCTTTCCATTTCCATTCCACTTTTTTTCTCAGGCAGCCCCCTTCCGGGACATTTGTACAGTTTCAGTAAAAATGTGGGTCCTCAGTAGTTTAACGTTAAATTTTCTCTTGAGTTTTGGCCGTAGCTTCACATTTGTTAACCCTTTTTTTTTTATTCTCACTCTCTCACCACTCAACTTAGCTGAACCACCCTTGCCCATCCCTCTCCGAGACACACAGAAACACTTACACACTGTTCACCTTTGTTGTGGATTTCACATCCGGCCGTGCGTGGCTTGCGCCTTTCTTTGTTTGGTTACTTTCGCATTGTGAAACTAACCATTTTTAATTAACTTCATTTTTCCAAATTTAACATAACCACTTTCTTTTAACTTCATCCACTTTCTTCAACCACTTTCTTTTAACTTCATCAAAATCAATGCTAACCTCTTTTTACAACTTTAACTGCGGGCATGAGGTCATGCCTTTCTTTGTTTGGTTATGTTAGCATTGTCAAAAGTGACCGGCAAATAGGTCGCTCGCCGCGCGCTGTCGATTGTGAAATCTGCAACTTAAACATGCATCAGTGCCGTTGCGACACCCCGAGAGCTGCACCGAGCGGGCGCAGGGGTGCTGAATTTGCTGAAATTGCCCCCCTGTGGTCGCTCGGCTGGGCCCTCGCGGGTCTCCGCGGCGGCAGCCAGCTTTAGACGCGCTCCAGACCTGTTCACGAGTGGCACGCGGAAGGCTTCGGAGAGGGAACAACTGTGTAAGGTGAGAGAGTGAGGGACTTGTTTGAACTGATTAAAAAGAAAGGATTAAGAGGCAAACGCTGCTTTAGTTATTAAACCGTTGCAAGCTGTGCACTAGCGCCCCCTAGAGTAAGACGTAAGGTAGCTTCGCTTAACCTAAGATTGTGCGGGACCCCTCTTATTCAACACCGCGACTTGTGATTATTAGCCACCCAGAGAAAGCTTTCTATGATCCAAAGAATAAGTAGTTGTCTTTGATTTGTGGTGTTGAATTATATGAGATTGATTCTTAGGAATTTCGTTTAACCTGACATCCGCATGCGACGCGTATAGCACAAACCCATCGTTCGTTTAAACCAACGCCGTCTGTGGCTTTGGCACCCTACATCTATCTCTCTCGCACTCGCTGTATCGTGCGTCGACGGAGCTTCGTGCTCTCACTGCTGGACCGACTGACGCAGCCTCCCCACCCCGCTCCCGTTGCCAATCTGATTTAGCGAGGCAAAATTGTCCGACTCATTTCGAGCACGACACCTCACTCATAGGTGTTCAGTGCATTATTGCCTTTTAAATTATTACCCAAAGGACAACGGATCCGGCCGAAACTGAAACCATTAGCGGGCAGTCTAGGCGCCTCGGTCTGCGTGTCCGCTCCGTATTAGTGTCGCGTATGGCGCGCGCGGGGCTTGCATGTGCAGGGCGCAGCAGTGCAGCGCAGGGCGGCGGCGGCGCGCGGCCGGCGCCGACCGGCACCGAGAAACGGAATAAACGCCTCCGTATCGTCTATCCGCTGTCATCTGATCCCATCTGACATCTCCCTCATCTGCTGCAGGCACGCAACGCGCGCTCGCGGTATCGCCCGGGAGCTGCCAATCTCTCTCTCTCTCTCTCTCTCTCTCTCTCTCTCTCTCTCTCTCTCTCATGTAGTAGGGCTTTTGGTCTTCTTGGACTCCACAGTCATTTTTCAGGATCCCCAGTAAATTCTAAGTCACCGACCTCGGACCGCACCTAGCATGCCACCCTCATCCTGAAAGCTGGGTTGGTTCGCATATAGCCCCTTGTCGTTTGTCGTTGCATTTATTCCCAGATGAATCGCAGCATCAGAAGCAACCCTAGCTCCTCCTCCTTCCCTACCTCCTCCTCCCCTACCTCTCCTTTCCCTACCCCCGCCCCCCTCCCCACCTCTTCCTCCCTTCCGCCTCACAACCGCAGCGCCTGGGGCGACCTGCAGCCGTCACTGAAATATGACTGCAGCAGGTGACCAGGGCTAATTAGACGGCCCTGGAAATCCCTTCATGTACAGCCATTTACCGCGACTACCCCCCCCCTCTCTCTCTCTCTCTCTCTCTCTCCCCCTCTCCTTCCAGTGCTGCATAATCGAATGCTTGCCTGGTCGCCCCGCGGGGGTCTGGTCTGGTGGCCGCGCGCCCCGCTCCGCGCCCCGCTGGCTGGTGGCCGACGCCCTCCTCGGGGCGCCCCAGAGCGTCCCCAGCGGGTCCCCCGCGGGTCCCGGGCGGGTCCCGGGCGGGGTGAGTGATGAGGGCGGGGGGCGGGGCGTGACGTGTAAAGATTGGGCGG